TTTCATGGAGGACATTATGGTATGACATAATGTATTTTTAAAATGACAGAATATTTATTTTATTCTAAACATACAGTTGTATCTATGAAGCTAAAAACTTTCAAATCAACCGGCTCTGCAATGGTGCTCAAAATCAACTCCTACACCACCCAGGAGGGCGTCGACAGACACAGAGCAGACTGCCAGAGGGATATGGGAAAGACCATCTCCCAGGCTTGCCTAACACCAACAGAAGCCAAGAGAGATGCCTTTCCTTCTGCCCTGCATGAAGACTGGGGAACAGGTGCCATGTTTCAAGCTCCCAGCATATACTCTGGTACAGAAGCTGAGGAAAGTCACAGACGTCTATCATACGACACTTAGCCTTCGTCATTTTATAAAAATGCAAAGACTTACTGAACAGCACTGCATCAGCCATTCCCTTCGATGGAGCTGTATGGTAAATTATGATAAAAGTTTTTCAAAATTTAGTATGATTAATTTTTCCAGTAAAACACATAATCAAAAATTCAATCATTTAAAAAATTAATTTTAAAAAGTAATAGAAAATTAAATTCAGAGAAAGGTTTCACAATGGAAAATACTGTCTAGTAGCCAAAAATAGAATTATTGCTACAATGTCTTTTTTTTCATATATTTATTAAGTATACAGTATTCTGTCTGTGTGTATGCCTGCAGACCAGAAGAGGGCACCAGATCTCATTACAGATGGTTGTGGGCTACCATGTGGTTGCTGGGAATTGAACTCAGGACCTTTGGAAGAGCAGCAGTGCTCTTAACCACTGAGCCATCTTTCCAGCCCTTGTTACAATATATTTAGGAACCTAAAAAAGGGCTTAGGTGTGGCTCTAAGGTAAGAGGACTTGGCCAGCACAAAGGCCTCAATTCTCAGTACTGAGGGGAAAAGGATAATGTAATTTATGTTTCCAAAATGAAAGCTTAATGTGCACTGTTGCTAAGGAGACAAACTGTCCCAGCTTTGCAAACACCTCAAATATTTATCTGCAATATTCCCTTTCCACACCTGGCCTCTCTCACCCTCTGCCACCTCCTCCACTTTGCCAAAGGCAGCTTTGGATTCATGACTGACTTAGGAAGTTTACTTTTAGGACTTCTAATATTTACTAACAAAGTATTGAAAAAAAATTATTACTATTAAAATGGGCACTGTACTTATAAGGTTTAATTTGTTCCCCAAAGACTGTAGAACTCTAGAAGCCCACAGCGAAATCTTTAAATCTTTAAATACCTCCAGTGTTACAGAATATTATTTTAAGATGTCTTACATTTGTTTATGCTGTGGAAGATTTAATGATACAAAGATGTGCTGCAGTCTTTTCTGTTGCATTTGTCCAACTCTGTGAAGCAGTGTTAGTTTGACTGTCTAAAACACCTGATGGTCTAATAAAGAGCTGAACAGCCAATACTGAGGGAGGAGAAAGGATAGGCTAGGCGGGGTTGGGAGGCAGAGAGAATAAATAGAAGGAGAAGGCACAAGAGAGATCAAGGAATGCAAAAGAAGGGGCCAGCCAGCCGGTCACAGAGTAAGAGTGACAGTCAGGTTACAGAAGTAAGAAAAGGAAAAGGCCCAGAGGCAAAAGATCGATGGGATAATTTAAGAAAAGTCGGTTAGAAATAAGCCAAGCTAAGGACAGGCATTTATAACAAGCAATAAGACTCCATGTATGACTTCTTTGGAAGGTGGGTGGAGGGTCCCCCAAAAAGTCAAAAGAGTAAAACAGTCAACAACACTCCAGTCTTCCTAGAGAAACATTCTTCCCACCAGGAGCTATCTAAGTCTTACATCAGCAGAACCATGGCCTTCTGGAGCTACAAGACAGAAAGGCTGGCCCCTGCAAAGGTGTCTCAACCTTGTTCCCTCAGCCCTCTCGTCCCTAGCAGCTCAGACTCATAGGAGGACCAGTGTGAAGAGGTCAAGTTCAGTGCCAGTTTCCAACAATCTATCTACCATTCACTCAGCATCATGTTGGGGAATGAATGAGGAGAAAGAGTCACACTCAGTATAGAAAATCCTGAGGGGGTAGCCAGACACAAACAAACCTAGCCTGAAAGACATACACAATGTGATTGTGACCAATGTTCAAAGTCAACATAAAGTTGAATTTATTCAAGAATTCTGAAAAGGAACAAACTACTTCTGAAATATATTATTAAGATTTGAAAGCAAGTCGGGCGATGGTGGCGCACGCCTTTAATCCCAGCACTCGGGAGGCAGAGGCAGGCGGATCTCTGTGAGTTCGAGACCAGCCTGGTCTACAGAGCTAGTTCCAGGACAGGCTCCAAAGCCACAGAGAAACCCTGTCTTGAAAAAGCAAAAAAAAAAAAAAAAGATTTGAAAGCAAAAGTGCCTCCATCTGCATTACCCGGGAAACTAGTGAGGACAGCTTCCCATACAACATCAGTGCACGATACAAAGCGCTGCATCCTAGAACTGGAGGTGCTTCAGCAGGAAAGGGGCTGCACAGAAAACCTGAGGCCTTAAAGTTCTACCCCACCCCAGTGTTGTCAGAGAGTAAACAAAACCATCTTGGTTTGCTTTTCCAGTCAAATGGTAAAGACCCAGCAAGCAGAGCTTCTGCCAAGTCTGCTATGATTACTTCCTGCTGAGTCTCTGAGACAGGGTCTCACTCTATAGTTCAGGCTGACCTGGAACTCACCACATAAGCCTAGACTGACTCTGAACTATCAACACTCCAACCTTTACTTTCAAGTGCTAAGAAACAGGCACACATCACTACACCTAGCTGTTCTAGTTTTTTACATTTATTATATTAAGAACCATTTTTATTAATTCTTTTGAGAATTTCATATAATGTATTTTGAACATATTCAACCCCTCTCCTCCCTTCCCATTTAAATGAGTTTCCTTCTCCCGCAACAGCCTACACTGGGTCCAGTTTATGTTGTCCAACCAGTCTTAGGAGTAGGTTTCCTAATATTAATTTCTCAGACAACTGACATACTGTTTGTCAAACAAAATGGTAATACAAAGATATAATCACAGGCACTGCTTTGAAACTGTGAGTAGATGGCTTTAAGGCTCGGTCTTTTTTGGCCAGTAAGCTGTCTCAGCAATCAAGCACCTGCCCCTAGCCTGCTCCCAGGACCCATATGATGGAAGAAGGGCCCAATCAAGTTGTTCTCTGACTTCATGTGTACTGTGGTACATGTTCAACTACACAAACACACATAATATTCTTACATGTAAAAAAATCTAATTCATTAAAGAATTCCTCATTTAATTTTTACTCTCTGTATTCTGAATCTATCCAGTCTATTGTTGAAAACAAAAACAAAACCTTTTTACCGAAGTTATTACTTGACGACCTTACACGCATCAGCTATACTTACACATGCATGTACACAAGCACACATATATTTAAATATCTGCTCTTTATTTCTTGAGACAGGACTCAGTACTGTAGCCCTAATGGCCATGCTTCTGTCTCCAGAGGGCTGAGATTACAGAAGTACATGGTCACACTGCGATTACTTACGGATAATTCAGAAGTGTACTCCCAGTATTAACAAGGGCTTTGAGCCTCTAAATGAACAGCTGCCCACAGCCTGCCTCACAGTTCCAGAGCTCAATGGGAAACAGTTCCCTAGGCTTTCTTGCTTTAGCTCGACTCCTGAATCACACACTTGCATGCACACTTTGTGCCTATTAAAGCATGGATGAGGTTTCTGCAGTTGCATATGACTTGGGAAATGGCACTCACCCGCCACTGGCATTTTGGTGGGCATAACCCCAACCACTACATGCAACTAGGTATCCTGATTAAGCTATTAAGAATGTTCTGGAAATTGAAAACTTACTGCATGCAGAGGGCAAAGCAAAAGGCAGAGGAAGGGAGTGAAAGGATTACCTATCTAAGGCTGGAAAAGGCAATGCTGAGATCCACACCGATTACAAAAGCAGTTCAGAAATAAGGTCAGAGAAGAAAAGGGAAAAGGGATTTCCAAGTGACTGAAGAGACATTCTGGACTCAAGAAGCACAATAACGAAACAAGCCCACTAGACTCTCAGTCCCCCTCAAGTTAGAAAGCACTTGAAGGCTAAAGTCTGGCCCCACCAAGGCTATGTCACACGACACAGAGGGAAACCACGTCTCTCAGTATGCACTGGTTTTATACACTAATTTACTCAAAATGTTTTAAGTTAAAGACCTAAGAACTACTAAGGTTATAAAAACTCAGTACTGTAAAACATGCATCAAACTTAAATATTCAAAAAAGCCAATTCAATGAATCTTAAAAACACAAACCAAAGTTAATATCCTTAGCAGTCTCAAGGTATCCCGCCTCTCCAGTTAGACTGTGAGTTCAAACAGTCACTTTCACTATGCAAACGTTCCAAAAGTACTTACTGGACAATGGAACATCTTTTCATTGAACAATGCATGAAGAACAATTAATAGAAAGAGTTTTGCCTTTGGAATCACTACAACTAAAAAGCCAGTTAACAGAGAAAATCTTATAAAAAGGGCTTTCTTTTAGAAGTTTTAACTTAGGACAATGTCTGTGCATCAGACTCCTCACAGGATGGATGGACCTCTGAGAACAAAAATTAAATCACTGTGCCTCATTCCAATACACGCTTTTCACCTAGCTGAAACTGAGATTGTTTTGGTTTTATGCAGTGTGCTTTCCCACACACTTTTGCACCTTGTTTCTTGTTTTCATTACTGAGGACTGAACCCGGCCTCAGTGCATGCTAGTCCAGTGCTCCACCACTCGACTATGTCCCCAGCCTATTCACTGATGATTTAGACACGATCACACTGAATTGCCTGGGCTGGCCTTCAAGTGCAGACCTCCTTCACCCTCTCAAGGAGCTCAGACAGGCCTGTGCGACTAGGTCTGGTCTCACATCTGTTAACATGACAGTAATGTTTAAAAAGAAAGCTTAGAACCCAGGCTAGCAGGAGGCCCGTCTACGCACAGGCTGCTTTTCTTTCTGCTCTCATGCATGTTACCTTGTCACCAGACTTCTGCCCGCTTGTCTTCTTCTTACCTTGTCCTTTATACCTTGGTATCTGAGCATGAGAATAAAATGACATTTTACCATAAAATATAAATCTTTAAAAATAAACTAACTCATTAGCAAACTAATAAAGATTCCTATTAGACAGTATCTGTAAATGGACAAGCTAACACATTCCTCTCCAAAGCCGGCTGCTTTTGAAGGCATGTTTCCAATAGGTCAGCTTCCTTCCGTGTGTGCAGCTTGTCTCCTTCCACACTGCACTCAATTCCCTTGCACACTGGCCTGGAATCCCAAGCAGCTTGCCGAGGGCTTGTCTAGCTTGACTTGACCTTCCTCAGGAGCACACAAAGCTGGTTCCTAAATGCTGGGTCTAATCCTTAGCTACAGCTTGCTAGTGTCCCTCACACTTACACTTTCACCCTGCTGGCTCACAAAGTGGATGAGGACTCAACAAGCAGAGCTGGGAGAACTTAGGTATACAATGGGACTGACAGAGTGACAAAGCGAGATGTACTGTAAACAGATCCCAGGCCCCACCAGCTAGCAAGGATCTCAGGTATTTCACAAGGGGCTACTCCAACCCCAGCTCGTGACACGGGACTACACTGAAATGAAAGGTGGCAGACATGTAATACCCCAAGCCCAGGAGACACAGGCCATTACACACTAGCCTATGAGATTGTTCTTCTCTAAGAATTCACAGCAACATTTCTTAAGACTGAAACACTCAGTGTCATCATCACAATGCTAGAATAGAGCGTGCAGTAACAGATTTTATTATGGTTTCTCTTGAGGATATACCTTACATGGAATGTCAGTACCACTGCTAAAAATAATCTATGAGGAAGTGAATTTTCCAAGCAGCTCAATGCCTCAAGTATTGATAAGTATATTAATAATACTGGTTTGTTTTCTTTTTTAATAATTTTATTTTATGTGCATTGGTGTGAGGTTGTCAGATCCCAGGGAACTGGAGTTATATTATAGACAGCTGTGAGCTGCCATGTGGGTGCTGAGAATTGAACCTGGGTCCTCTGAAGAGCAGCCAGTGCTCTTAACCACTGAGTCATCCCTGCAGACCCTATGTGTTTTTTTTTAACGTCAGACATTTTCATGGAATACATTTTCCCACAGGCTTTTCCCTCATCATCTGACGGAATCTGTCAAATGTACTCATGGCCTGCTCTGTCATCAGGGCTACAGCCTTCCATTAGCATCAAGAGAAGAAAAATGTTTTAAATGCTCCTCATCTGAAAAGGCCTGGCCATCTCAGAGAGCCACACTAGCAAAATAACCCTGCTCGCTAGAAACATCAAATTTCTTTGGCTTTCAAAGCTTAAAAAGGAACAAATCATCAAAGAACAAGTCACAAATAGCAGTGTCCTCTGCCTAGACACTTAGCAACAAAGTACTCAGCAGTATAGTCACATGCTCCAAAGGTCACCTGATTTAAGATACACGTTTTATCTATAAATTCATGTTCCACCCTGAAACCACATGAAGTCTTGTGTTTGGATGGACTCGATGCCGTCGTTCTATCCCGATGGAAGAGTCACAGAGTGCAATGCTGAACTCTGATGAACTGCAGCACTAGCCGACCCACCCTCCCAAAAATCCTGATTATGTTGAAATCCCAGTCCCTAGGGTAATGACTGTACTAAGTGGGGCCCTTGGAGAGTAATTAAGTCAAAAGAAGGAGCACTGTGCATGGTCTTAAGGACTTTTCTGCGCTCTCCTCCCTTCCCACTACACAAGGATCCAGAAGGTACCAGGAACTGGGCCCACACCGGACACCACAGCTGCCCCTGCCTCCCTCTGTGAGAACTCAGTCCTGCTGTTCATAAGCAGTCAGGAGTGTTTTACGACAGCAGTTTGGATAGACTAAGATAGGACCCAACCCCATTATTTCACATGGCCAAACTAGAACCAATCAGGATGTCCTCTAACCAGCCATGGGACACCATCACTTTTTCATTCAATCTTCTACTACTAAACATATTCAAATGTTCAACTCAATGTTTTTCTTCTTCATGTAGCGTTCCTGAAATCAGGTCTTATGTTTAATACCATGCGTGCACGATACACGCGCGTGCACACACACACATACACACAACCATAGTACACTTTCCTATAAATCTTGCCAAAAATAGTTCTTTAATATTTAAGTACTACCATGATTCCAAATCTGGTCATCTAAAAGCCTGCAAAACTCAACTACAGCCTTTTATATTCTGGAACCTCATGCTCTCCAGCTCAGAGTTTATGCAAAGTAGGGAAAGTCTTCTTACTAATGCAATATAAAAATATTCCAAGAATCAATGTTCTCTAATATACAAAGAGCAAAATATTACCAATGACACAAAAGAAGTAACTTTTAAAAAGTACTTAATCAAAAGAGGGAATTACCTTTAAGAAACTTTAAATGACTTGTTACAAAAGAAAATTTATAGGTAATAGGTAAGAAGAATGAGCAGAGCCCTGGGTGTCTGCCACAGTGCCTGCCTGCTTCTCTGTCCAGCATAGACTCACCTTACTTGGGGTGGAGTTGGCACTTGTTTTTCCTTCAGGTGACTTTGAAGGAGGATGTCCATCGGACAGATCCAATGCACCCTAAAAAAAAAAAATCAGTTTGAACTGAAAATATAACGTGATTATGCCAATGATACCGCAATATTATTTTAGCATTTAAGAACACTATGTTGACATTTCTTCACAAACACCTTGACGAACTTTCTTCTAATTAGAATATACATTTAGCACCCAGATTCAAATTACCTGCAAAGTATTTCCCTTAGCCACCCGATCTGCAGGGTGGGTGCCCAGTCCATCTTTTCATCACTTCTGGAGGCCCATCCCCTTCTTTCTCAACTAACAATGGCTGGGATCCTCAAAGGTCCATTTTTCCTTCCCTGCTTGGATTAGCATCTCTGTTTCATTTTATGTCAGCCAAAAACAATCCAATTACCCATGAACACCTACCCAGGGCTGGTGACATGAGTAACCTGACCAATGGCAGACCAGTCTTCCACAGGAATTAACAATAAATGAACAACTCTCAGGGCAATGCTTTCCATGTTGAATGCCATCTTTACTATCCCATTGCCTCATTTTATAAACGAGGCCACCGAGAGGCAATGTAACATGGCCAAGACCAACAGCTGGTCAGTGAGGAGTGATGATTTGTTTCTAGTCTGGCCCCTGAACGTAACATTTTGAGGACCAACAGCCAAAACAGGCACACAATTGTATCTGCATATTATAATGTTCATTAAACTATGTATATACCATCTCAGCCCATTATGTTTTGTTTTAAAGAACAGCTTCTTTTCATGCAAACATCAATTTATCATGCATGGACTAATCTTCATGACTTAGGGAAAGGGCAGTAAGGTACTTACTTCCCCACTGGTAAGTCCTTTCTCTTTCTGTTGGCAGCGTCTAATCACTTCTAATAATAAGGGTCCACCCACGGTACCTTCTGCTTCAATGATTCCTAAATCTCGGGCTAAGTTCTCCCGACCTTCAAGACCTTGAAGCTAGAAAAGAAGTAAGATTCGGGTGCAGAAAATATAGCGGAAGCAGTCAGGTGGGAAAGGGAGCATTTTAGGAACTTAAAGACATCTCTAAATTCAAAGAGGCTGTGCAGCAAATGAAGTCTGGCCGTTTTGTAGAGCAGCCGTGTTTAAGGCCTCTCCTGACAGCTGTTGGATGACATCTTAGAATCAACCTACAGGAGCATTCCTTTCTTACTTATCAGCTTCAAGTTACACAAAGCAACTCAGATGGCTTCTAGAAAAACAATAAAACAATCTAACAAACAAATAAACAAAAAAATAACCTAAATGTAAGCAACCATGAAGTGTGAGACTCACTGACTTTCAACTTAGTATTCCCTCCGCAGAGATTTCACAGAATAGATGTAAAATCACTTTTCTTACTGTGCTAGTTTCAGGATGGAAAACAGCCAAGGTGAAGTCAAGGTTAAAAAACTGAAGAAATTCTGCCACGAGACTAGCCACTAAACGACCTGTGAAGACCAAGAGAAAGACTCGTGAACAAAGTCTGAAGGACTCCATCTTCTCTGTGACCTGAAGCATTCCACAGGAAGGATGAAGTTTCTAAGTTCTCTACAATCACACATTTCTTTTCGGAATAATTCACTGAAGTATAAAAATCCTGATCTTCCCAGTTTTGTTTTGTTTTGTTTTGTTTTTCTCCCATTTAGGATCATCAATCTGTAACTTTAAGGCAATGTAATATTTGAAAGGTAGATTTCAGTGTTTCACTTTCTATATACTAAGTGGTATATATACATGGTGGTATATTCCTATGAAAAGTCAGCTTCGGACAGGAAGGTCACTGATGGTTAGAGGCCAGCATGGGTCACAGAGGGAGACTATTTTTCTTCCAAATATCAGCAGAATTTTAAAACTCAGAGGCAGGTAAACACACATAACAATAACATCTTACCGTCTTTTGTATTTAAAAACTTTTTCAAGCTCTCATTGACCAAAGGAGTTTTGTTCTGTTAAAAAATAAAAGAAATATTTTAAGTGTTCTATGTTTACCCTAAAATAACTAAAAAGCATACATTGAAGCTCTCTTTTCCCCATAGCAAAAGTTTCCTATTAGCTAGTAAGCAAACGAGAAGTGGAAAGTCCACCCTCAAGAGTGGAGTGGAGGCCAGGCTGAGTGCCAACAGCTGTACTTAGTTATTTTGGCAACAATATAAAGAATTTTTATATTCTTTATATTGCCATTCACAGAAATCATGATTTAGGAGATCCATTTTACAACTGTACTTATGGTAATACTTGCTTTATGCTATTTAATAACTTTTCGAGTTGATAAAACCAAACCGTACATGCAGACAGTTATTTCCAAGCTTTTAAACCATTTTTCATATTGCTGGAGATTAGATTCAAGACCTGGTACAAGACAGGCAAGTACTCTACCCTTGACTATACCACCAGCCTTCAACATAACTGCTTTTGAAATAGTTTGTCTACAAATATTTCTGTGGTATAACTTTAACTCTATATTTCAATATGATAAATTTAAAATGTATCATCTTATATATCTACCACTTGCAACATATACATTTGTAAATCCAAATTAATCAGTAGTAAATGAGATGACTTTGTGGTCATAGGCCAACTTAGTTTTTTTTTTTTTATTACAGATCTGACAAATGTAGTAAAAAACATTTCTTACAAATTAAGTGAGCCTGTGGTGACTGTTCAGAGCGAGGCTAATGTAGACATGATGGGCTTCCTTAAGGAGCCTCACATCTTGCTGATGGAGAAAAAAGGGCACCAATACTTTGGAAAACAGTTTAGAGGGTTGTTTTTTTAGGTTAACATTCTCCTCAGCATGTGGCTAGTCACTCTATTCTTGGGTATTTCTCAAGATAACCCAGACCCCAGCAAAGACCTGGACATGACCGTTCACAGCAGCCGCATCTACAAGCAAAAAATAGAACCCAAAGATGGTGTCAAAGGGTAGAAGGCTACACAAATTATGAGTATCCACTCAGTGACTAATGGAATGACCTACAATTCCTGAATCAGTATTAAATGGAGTAATAAATACACTACTGCATTATGCTGAATAAAAGATCCCAGACAAAAACGTACATAAGTCGTTATACATGGTCCCATTAGTGTGGCTTTGAACATGGTTATGAGGTTGAGGAAGGCAGCTGATAAAGACATAACGTTTAAGGGATTGTAGCTCCATTCTCTTTCTTGGCTATTCAGTTCACATCCTGTAAATGTTTATCAAATCTGACATTTTAAAGTGTGAGTTTACAGGAACAATTATACCCCGTTAAGAATCAACAGGAAAGATGATGTAGAGACAGACAAGCAAGAGGCTGAGGAAGTTAAAGAGATTCAGGACGGTTGCTGAAACTTGGGGTAAACAGAAAAGTCATGCTCCCGTTTAAACACACAGGTTTTACTAATTTTTTTTTTTTTGAGGATAAGTTCGGAGATGCTTTTAAGTAATTGAATGGTCAGATTTTTAACTGGCAGCTCATTGAAACGGTTTCAAGCAGAGCATCTAGCTATGGCCTGTCAGAATTACCGCGGCACTTTAAGGTCCCTCTAACATGCAAAATGATAAAGAAACGGAGCAGAGGTAAAGAAGTAAAATCCTTAGCCGTTCTATCCCCAGTCAGTCATTAAAACTATTTCAAAATAGCTTTGAATCTATTAGCAATTAGGCGTTAGGAAGTACGGTCCCATCAAGGTCTGGTCTGGGGGAAACCTCTTACCTCTACTTTTTCTTGTTCTTCCAGTGCTAAAAACACAGCCGCTCTGAGTTCAGCCTTGAAGAGAAACACACACAACACACGCGTACACAGAATTATTCACGTCAGTTTCCCCACCGTCTAAATGACAAGGCCAGGAGCGAGGGCGCCCGCCACCGAACCGGCGCGGGGAGGTCACGGGCCGCTCGGCGCTCCACGCCCCCGACCCACGGTCTAGGGCCCAGGCCCCACGGCCTGCGCGCCCCGCGCCAGCCGCCCCGCGCCAGCAGCCTCCCGCGCCCGGACAAGCCGCGCGGCCCCGTCGGCCAGCCTGCCCCGCCCCCGCCAGGCTGAAGCCCGGCCTCCCTCCCGCCGCACCTTGATGCGGTTCAGGACGCCGCTGTTCTCCAGCGTCTGCACCAGCAGGTCCCGCAGCTCCGTGTCCTCCTCCGCCACCACCGCGGCCGTCGTCGCCGCCATCTTGGTTCTCCAAGACAACCACCCAAGCCGTGCTAACGGCCAACGGCGGCCGCGCGCGCCCTTGCCGGCGAGCGAGCGCGCAGTCGCGACCCCGCCCCTCACGCCGGGAGGAGACCTAAGTGGGTGGGGCCTCCGGGCATCGTGATGTAGGAGGCGGGGTCTCTGCGTTTCACGACGCGAGGGCGGGGCCTATTGAAGGCGGGGCATCCGAGTGCAGGAGCCGTTTGTGGGCGGGACCACGGGGGCGGGGCGGGGCCGGATTTACCGACGTTCTCTGCGGCTTCTTAACAGAACTGTATTAGGAACGTCATTAAATTGCATCTAATTTCCCGGTTCCGGCGAGAGGAAGAGTCCACCGGGACTGAACCTACCGGCCCAAACCTCCAACTTAGAGGGCGATAGAGAGGCAAGAGCTCTGGGTCGGAGGAGCGAAACAAGCCTCGGGGCGGGGCTAATACTCCTGGTGGGCGGGGTAAACTCTGGGGCGGGGCCTGCCCGGGACGCCCAACCTCCCGGGTGGTGGTTGCGCCCAAGAACGAGCAGCGCGCGCGTGTGTGTTCTGTTTTTGTCTCTGTGTACGTGTATACACAGAGTCCGTTTTGCTGGGCGGCAGGGAGGGCTGTCTCTGGTACTTTTTGCTCTTGTGAGTTGTTTTGAAACAGCAATAGGCCGGGAATGGAAACTCCATGCTGTGGTGTACGTGAGAGATTCCGGTACCGGTTGGTAATAATTTGGATTCATTCCCAGCCGTACAGGAATGCAGATTCACATAAGTATAAAGTTAAACTCCATCAATGTAGCTTTCCAGTTTATGAAGTTGTTTTGTTTTCCTGCATCTTCCGAGAAAGGAGTCATTGAGAGGTTAGTTTTTAAAACTGGCCTTAAGGAGAACAGAAGTTAGAAGGGTCACAGCTAACACAAAGGACATGGTAAGAGAGCTCTGTCAGGCTTTGCCTTTCTTTCCCATTCTCTCTGCCTTGTTTAAGAACAGGAGATTACATTCCTAAAGCTAGCCACTAAGGTCTTTTCCCTTGTTTGGCCACCAAAGGTGCCCCTATCAAAGTATTGAAGTCCAGCAATCAAAGCCCCCTTTTAACAATGCCAATTAAAATTAAACACCTCATCCTAACACTGAGTTTCCCCTTTTACCTTTTAAACTATCATTTTCCTATGGACCACATCTCTCTCTCCTCTGTCTCCTTTGTTCCTCCAGAGCAAATACCCTGCTCCCTTTCCCTTGTTCCTTTCCCCCTTTCCCTGTCATCTTATCCCTTATCCCTGTCCTCTGTCCCTCTGGGGTAAATAAATCTCCTTTGTGTTGAGGCTTAGTCTTGAGGTCCTGAGCCAATACGGATCCTTTTACAAAGAATATTTCCATCTAGCGGTCGGATTACAATCAGGACACATGAAAAAGTGGGGTTAATAGATCTGGACAAACTAAGAAAGTCCTTGGAGTGTGCCAACTTCAAGCTAGGGAAGAATGAAGGGGAGAGTGCTCCAGACAAGGGAAAATAGCAGTCTGTGCTTAGCTTGGCCCATGAGCAGTGAAAGCAGAATTGGTGTGGCCGGCAGAGAAGGGACTCGGAGGAGCTGGTCTGACGCAGATATGACATGTTAGTGTGGAGAAGAAAGGGTTGCGGCATCAGCTGATATCGAGATTTGGATATCAGGAAGGTTTGCAATGCGTTTAATCAGTACTTTTGAGTGTCTACTGAGTTCTAGACCCTAAATTAAGTAGCTTGGAAGTGGTCAAAGCCTATTTCCCACAGCCAAGCATCTATCAGTGCAGGAACTCAGATTACAACCTTACAGCAGTCTGAAGCAGTGAGACACCATGGGGAGGACAGGAGAAAGTGCAGCTACAGAGCCAGGAGGGTGGCTGCAGGTGCTTCAGACTCGGAAACTGGAACCTCCCGTGTGATTACATTTGAAGATGGCACCTGCACGGACTAGTAAGGGTTGGGTGAGGTCATAATCACTGGGCCAGTGTCCCAAACTCTCACAACACTATAATCCACAGAAGGGTGCTCACCAGGAACTGAAGGCACTGGCAGATCGTGCTGAACTTCCTCCAGAGGACTAAGATCAGGCAGCATTGTTGAGTGCACAGGTGTCTGCGGTATTTTGTTACAGCAGGCGGAGCTGCCAGGGCCAGATGTCTTCCCCAAGGAGCTGGTGCAAAACAGATGTGCCAGAAGGCTTGCTGGTGAGTGAGGAGGAACGGGCGCTCCAGACAGAAGGACAAGCCGAGTCAGGTTACTCTGTATAGGGGAATATATATGAATGTGTGAATACACACGGACCTACACAATAGCTTGAGTCTGTAGGGTGAGTTGGGAGCTGGAGACCTGGGAAAACTGTCCCTGAGCCAACAGGCTCAACACCTTGGGAAGGTGTTTGACTCTGAGCCTGGAGCACCTTCCCCCATGCCCAGATATAAAGCCCAGAAGCAGGAAAGACCCTTTTATTGGCAAGAATAAGTCCCTTAAAAAATCAGAGGCTGGAGAGAGGGCTCAGCAGTTAAGAGCACGAACTGCTTTTGCAGAGAACCTAAGATTGGCTCCCAGCACCCATATTGGGCAATTCATAAATGCCTGTAACTCCAGTTTCAGAGGATCTGATACCCCTGGCCTACCTTGCCAGCACAGATGATCACATCCACAGACACAGACACACACACACACACACACACACACACACACACACACACACAGAGAGAGAGAGAGAGAGAGATTGAGAGACAGACACACAGACAAAGACAAAAATTAATCTTTTATAAAAATTAAAATAAGGACCAGAAAGAAGGCTTGGTGCTAAGAGTACTGTCTGCTTTTCCAGGGGATCTGTGTTTGATTCCCAGAACCCACAGGGCAACTGACTATGAGTTCAGAGGTCCAGCGCCCTCTTCCGGCACCACAGGCACTGCACGTATGTGGTGCACATACTTAGATAGAGGTGAAATGCCCATACACATAAAATAAAAATAAACTCTCCCCTCAAATGTAAGAAAACAAATCTTTCTTAAAAAAATATTTATTTACTTATTATGTATATAATGTTCTGTCTGTGTGTATGCCAGAAGAGGACACCAGACCCCATTACAGATGGTTGTGAGCCACCATGTGGTTGCTGGGAATTTAACTCAGGACCTTTGCAAGAGTGGGCAATGCTCTTAACCTCTGAGCCATCTCTCCAGCCCCAAGAAAACAAATCTTAAAGTGACCAAGTGCCACCCAATTAGAGAAAGCACTATGCTGTACTTAGGCTACCAAAATTTAAACTACCTCACAGACTGGGTGCCCATGGCCTTAAAACTAGCCTGTGTAAGGCTGGGCTTCATGCCTGTAGTCTGATGGCAATTAGGAGAACCAGGAGTTCAAGCTTACCCATGGTTACATACAGATCTGTGATGGAGGAAGGTCATTGGCTAATAAAGAAACTGCCTTGGCCCATTTTATAGGTTAGAACATAGGTGGGTGGAGTAAACAGAAGAGAATGCTGGGAGTAAGAGGAAGTGAGCACAGACTCGATAGCTCTGCTCTCTGGGGCAGACACGATGAAGCTCCGACCCAGGATGGACGTAGGCTAGAATCTTCCCGGTAAGCACACCTTGGGGTGCTACACACATTATTAGAAATGGGCTGTTCCAGGTGCGAGAGTTAGCTGAGAAGAGGCTAGAGTTAATGGGCCAAGCAGTGTTTAAAAGAATACAATTTGTGTGTTGTTATTTTGGGGCATAAGCTAGCCAGGCGGCCAGGAGCCGGGCTGTGGGAAGAGGCCCGCAGCTCCTACTACAGATCTGAGGACAACGTGAGTACATGAGACTTGTCTTGAAAACAACTCCACATATTGAAAAAGCCATGTATAACTTGGTTCCTACAAGACCAAACAGGATCAAGCAGGGAAAAGCATCTTCCCCGCTTCCACTTGAGTTCTCTTGGACTAGCATGTGTTCTTTGAAATCGAGGAGGCCATCTTTCAGTCTGGATACAGGAAGACTAGCCCTTTTTCATCAGAAAGGTCTGGGAGGATCAGGTAGGTAGAGAATGTTCTCTGTGGCCTGTGAGGCTCCCCGAAGGTTTACAGATTGTGCGTGTGATGTAACCTGCTGGGGAGAGAGGTGAACTCACTCTTCCCCTGTTAGAATATTCTCCAGAGTGTACTGAAATTGCTTAGTTTGTTATCTGCACAAAGATTTGCCATGAGGTTGTAGATAGTGGTTAAAACTTAGCATGGGCTCTGGGGTTATGTCTCATGGGTTTCAATACGCTGTTGAGTTGTATTGACTACAGCGAGTTACTTGGCCTGTTAGTGCCTTGGTTGTAGTAAGAAGCTGCTTGTTTGTTCCCGGCTGCTCAGCCCCAAAATAATCACAGAAACCGTATCATTTGCAATACCGTTTGGCTAATAGCTTAAGCATATTTCTAGCTAACTAATATCTTAAATTAACCCATCTCCATTAATCTGTGTATCGCCACGAGGCTGTGGCTTACTGGGTAAAGTTTCAGTTCCTGCATCTGTCTCTGGCGGGGCTACATGGCTTCTCTCTGACTCTGCCTTCTTTCTCCCAGCATCCAGTTTAGTTTTCCCCACCTACCTAAGTTCTGCTTTGCTCAGGCCCAAGACAGTTTCTTTATCAACCAATGGTATTCACAGCATACAGAGTGGAATCCCACATTACCTTCCATGTTCTGTTTAAATAAAAAGGAAGGTTTTAACTTTAACATAGTAAAATTACATAAAACAGTTATCAAGCAAGAATTACAGTTACAATATTTATACCTATTTTATCTTTTATCATAACTAAGGAAAACTATAACTATATATCTTTCAACTCCATCAAAGACTCCAGAAGGATATATATATATATATATATATATATATATATATAGTCACCTAAGTAAACAGGAAGTGCATTGTAAGCAACTTCCAAAACTCTAGAATTAACTGAGACATCTTGCTGCCTGGACAGTCACTCAAAGTTTTTCTGTACCATTAGGGCATCCATCTTCAGCCTACAGGCCCATAATATCCAGCAGACTTTTCCAAGAAGCAGAAAATCTGAAGATCTCTTCTGCCTTGTAAT